TAATGGGGTCTGCTGACAACTCAACCCAACTCAACCAATCCCAACCCAACACAACCCAACTCAACCAACTCAACCCAACTTAATCAACCCAACTCAACACAAACCAAGTCGATCCAACCCAACCCAACAAAACTCAACTCATCCTAACCCAACCCAACTCATTCTGCCCTAATCAACCCATCCCAATTTAAACCCCTCTGAACTCAACCCGACTCAACTCAACCAGTCCAACTCAATCCAACTCAAACCAACCCATCCCAACTCAACCCAACTCATCCTAACCCAACCCAACTCATTCTGTCCCAATTAACCCATCCCAACCCATCCCAATCCATCCCAACCCTTCCCAATTTAAACCCTACTGAACTCAACCCGACTCAATCAATCCAACTCAATCCAACTCAAACTAACCCAATCCAACTCAACTCAACCCAACCAACTCATTCAATCCTCTTCCAACCCAACCCAACCCAACTCAACTAGACCCAACCCAACCCAACTCATTCAACCCAACTCAACCCAACTCATTCCAACTCAACCCAACTCAACTAAACCCAACCCAACCCAACTCATTCAACCCAACTCAACTCAACTCATTCCAACTCAACCCAACTCAACTAAACCCAACCCAACCCAAGTCAACCAACCCAAGTCAATCCCACTCAACTCATTCCATCCCTTTCAACCCAACTCAACCCATCCCAGCTCAACTCAACCCAACCCAACCTTTCCACCCCACCCCAAACTCACCCTTGCCCTCCACGCCGGGCCCGAACACCTTGACCCCGGCCGTATCCACGGCGGCGGGCGCCGGTTCCACGCGCACGGTGCTGGGGAAGTGCGGCACGGGCTGCCCGCCGTACTCCACGGTGACGGTGTGCACGCCGGCGCTGCGCGGCGTGTAGGCGATGGTGTAGATGCCRTCACCGTTCTCCTCCACTCTCACATCCGCCCGTGCCCCGGCTTCCGAGGCGATGCCGATGGTCAGCTCGGCCGTGCCGGCGCGGCTGCAGTCCACGCGGAAYCGCCCCGGCTGGCCGGCCGTGGCCTTCTCCAGGCCGGGCCCTTCGCAGGTGACCTTGGACGGGTCGAATTTGGGCCGGATGGGGGCGCGGAAGGGCGAGCCCGGGATGTGGGCGCCGGCGAACAGGATGTTGATGTTGTAGTCGCCGGGCTCGGTGGGCAGGTAGGACACGGAGCAGGTGCCGTCGCCGTTGTCTTGGCACTCGATTTTGGCCTCGCAGGGACCCTCCACGGTCAGGCCAAGGCCGCCCGTGCCGGCGCCTTTGGTGTCGATGGTGAACGGGGCCGGAACCCCGGCCAGGCCTCCCTGGAGACCGGGACCGAAGGCGCGGACCTGGGGGGAAACGGGAACGGTTGGGATGGGGTGGGGTGAGA